GGGTCTGCAGCTGGGGGAGGGTGGGAGCAGTTTCTGCTGGGCCCCCAATCTCCAGGCCTTGGCTGTAGTGGACAATGGGTCTGTGGCTCAATACGATGGGATGGGCCAAAGACAGGTGGGCAGGAGTGACAGGGCTCCCAGGAGACCTCTTTGTGGCCCCTGCTCAGTGACCATCTCCAGGAAGTGAGGCAGACACCATGTTCCAGTTCCTTGACCTGGGAAGGCTGCAGTCAGTCAGTCATTTCTCCTGACTGGGGTCTGCTCCCTCCAGGGAAGCAGCCTGCCTCAGGCCATGGAACCCTTTAGGCTAAAGCTGTGTTCCCAGATCCCCAAAATTCATGCCTTCTGCCTCATGTGTGCCGGGCAGGAGAGCATCAGGGCACAGCTCTGAGGGGCTCTCCCAGGATTCATCTGTACAGGTGAGAAATGGGACCAAGTGTCTGTGATCAGAACAGCCCAGGACAGCTGGGTGGATAAGCTGGGTAAAGCACTGAGGAGGAGAGAGGGGCCAAAGAAGGGAGGGCTTTAATGGCTGGAGAAGGTACCTTCACATGTGAACCAGTTCAGGAAACAAAGCAGAAAAGCCAGTGACATTTTTAGAGTTTCTAGAAAGAGAACCTTCCTCACTCCTGGGGTGGAACAGGGGAGTCAGCTCAGAATGCCCCGATCTCAGTGATTTCAGAGACCCAGGAGTGGTAAAGCATAGCTCCTGCCGGCCTCCCAGCTGGCCCTGGGGAGGATGAACTGGGGATGGAAAGAGCTGCATAAGCAGTGGACCCTGCAGCCCCAGAGGGTGTGGGGGAGGAAGACCGCAGGAGGGGTGCGATGTGGCTGCTCCTGGCAGCCCTACTGCTGGGGGCCACGGGCACAGGGACAGCTGGCCTCTCCAGGGGACGGGCCCTCCGGGCAGAAGATGCCCCTCTACTGGGTAGCAAATTCTTCCGGGCCGGCAGGATGGTGCCAGTGGCTCTGCGAACGGGAGCCGCACGGAGGGCTGGGATGGGGTAAGCGGGAGAGGAGGCGCTGGGGAGGGCTGGGCCGGGCACTCTTCCCAGGATGGCAAGCTGGTTGCTCAGGGCTGGCAGCCCGGGACAGCTATGGAAGAAGGACCAGGGCCAGGCAGGGAAGGCCAGTGGGCCAGTGGGTGTGGGTGAAGGCTCCATCTCAGCTGCGTAGCTGTTGAGGTGGGAGAGAAGGCGAATCCGGACAGGGTCTGCGCGGCTGCTGGGCCCTTCCAGGACCCCCAGGTACCTGATGACCTCGGTGAGGCACTCCCGAAAACCAATGCTCCGAAAGTCGACTGCCAGGGCTCGGGCATCAAAGAATCCTGCAAAGGGAGGCACGATGAGGGTTTGCCAGGTGCAGGAAGAAGCAGGGAGCCTGAAATCAGACTGTATGAGTTCTGCACCCACCTCTCCCACTCACTCCCTGAGTGATTCTGGACATGTCACCTCTCCTTTCTGAGCCTCGGTCTCTCGGAGGCCAGCAGGCACTATACAAATCTCTACCTGGGATGGAGAGTGTTGGACTGAAGATTCAAATGAGTTCCCTAAACTATGAAGCATTATAAAATGTAAAATACTGTTTTTACAATTCATGATGAATGCAAAGAAGAAATGCTGTGACCAGGGTAACTGACATTTAGGGAGACATTTGCCAGGTGTGTAAAGGCTACGCACAGAGAGATATAGAACACCCCTGCCTGTCGATTCGGTGAGGGGAGGTGGCAGCAGCCATCAGAGCTGGGAGGCCCCTTAAAGAAGGAGCATGGCGTACCAGTGAAGCATGAGGTCTTTAGACGCCAGCAGAGCTGGGTTCAAATCCCAGCTCTGCTACTGATCTAGCTTCCTGACTGTGGATGAGTCTCTTTATCTCTGCCTCAATTTCCTTAGCTGTATAATGAGGATATGACAGTATCTGCTGCATAGAGCTATGAGGGCGAAATTAAATACAAGAGTGCACAGAGAATGCTCAATACATGAAAAGTTAGCTAGTTGGGCTCGGTGGTTCAGCCTGTAATCCCGCACCTTTGGGAGGCTGAGGTGAGTGGATTGCCTGAGCCCACGGGTTCGAGACCCACCTGGCAGCAAGACCTCATCTCTACAATAAATCAAAAAATCAGCCGGGCGTGGTAGCGCACGCCTGTAATTCCGGCTACTCGGAAGGCTGAGGCGGAGAGATCGCCGGAGCCCAGTAGTGCGAGGCTGCGGTGGCCGGCAACGGCCACTGCACTCCAGTATGGGCGACAGAGTGAGACTCCAACTCAAGAAAAAAAAAAAGAAAAGTTAGCTATCTCTTCTGTTGCTTGCTTGGCACCTGTTGGCACCTGAGTTTGTTCCCCGGTTCAAAAAGCAATCTGGAAAGCAAGATTCCATTCCAGTCCTCAGTTGCTGCCATTAGGCCACGGAGCCTCTCTTTGAGGAATGACCAGGTAGTCTGCCCACACAGATTCACATCCTCACTGCCTCTCCATACCTGTTGCTGTCTCGACTACTTTCTGTGCAAAGACAGAACGGCTCCAGTCAGCACTGGCCTCATGACTAGAGCAGCAAATATCTGGTCTTTGGTTCATGGCAGAGGCCCCCCACAGAGGGACAACTCAGCTGGAGGCTATGTTTGGAGTCAGGCCAACTTACAGCTAAGGAAACTGAGGCATCGAGAGAGAAAAGAAACTTGTCCATAGTCAGACAGATAGGTAAGTAGCAGAGATGGAATTTGAACTCAGCTCTGCTGGCCTCTACTATATACTTAGTTGTGTGAGTCTGAGGAAATTATTTCCCCTTTCTGTGTTTGTTGTTCTTTTCTAGCTAACATTTACTGAGTTTTTACTAAGTGCTTAATTGAATTATCTAATTATCATAAAAACCCTCCCATTATACCCATTTTAGAGATGAGGAAACTGAGGAGTAGAGAAGTTAAATCATGTGTCTGAGGTCATAAAGTTAGTAAGTAGTAGAGTCAGGATTCAAATCCAAAGCCTGAACTGTAAATCACAGTTATCTTCCCATTAGGTCTTAGCCAGAAAACAGTGATGACGACAATCCCCATCTTCCAGGTTCTTGTGAGAATCAGATGAGGTAACATAAGTGAAAGCACTTTGAAAACCATAAAATGCTGTCTACACATTTCACTCCTTTTCTTTAAACTGGGTGACCATAAATATAATTGGACTCTCCCCTGCTGGTTCATTAGAGACAGAAGTCTCCACAGTAAGCAATGCATTGCTTTGCAGAAGCTCCCAAGGGGACCATCTGCATCAGGGGTATTGGACAAACTCCTAAACTTCAATCTGGACATACTGCCTCAGAATCTCTGGGGGGTGCTTCACGACTCTGCCTGCCCCTAGATGAGACCGCTGCACATTGAGGCTTGAGGAGACCCAAGCTGGGTCACTTACAAAGCAATTGTCTTCTTCTAGGGTAGCAAGTTATATATGTAGGACTTGGGTCTTTGTGTCCAAGGTCTGTGGCACTTTCGAGGTTTCTCAGTGTTGAAATCCCCAAGTATAGAGAAGTTTTGGGTAGGCAAAATTTCCTTTTGTCTAGAAGTCTTTTTAAAGCTACAGTTTCATTGTTTTGTAATAGATTAGCTTAAAATGACAACATGAGTCACATTTGTATTCTACTACAATCCTGTCACCCACTGTGAATATGACATCTCACCCCAGCACTGCCAAGAACCCCACAATAGCCCAGAAAGCTAGGCCGGTGGGGAAGGATAACAGGTCCCCTCTCTGGATTCAGACAGGTCACAGACTGGGACCCTAATGACAATTAGCTCATTCAGACAAATCCTTAATGAGGTTCTGGGTTGAGGGTGGTGGGAAGGACCAGTAGGAACAGTCTGTTACAGAAGAAATCTTCAAGGTCTAAGACTAGAAGGAATTGAGTTGAGGGAAGGGTTGAGACAAATGAAGACACCAAAGGTATAGAGGGAGAGGCTGAAAGAAGAAGAAAGATAAGTTCTGCAAATGTTCCAGCTGAGTCAGCTTTAACCCCTCCATAGACGGATCTCCAGAGGGAGGGCACTATGTCTGCTTTCTCTCTAGTGTATCCCCAGGGCCCAGACTCAACCGATTTGTTGTATGAATGACTCCTGAGAGAGAAGACCATTTGGTACCTGTCCCACCAGTGGCATGGAGCATTTTCAGGTGATCCACTGTCATCTGCAAGACCTCAGCTTTCTCCAGCTTGGAAGAGCCCTGCAAGTAAAGAAGAAGAAAAGCAAAGCCTCCAGCTGCCCCTGTCCCTGTATGGTGTCATCAGCTTTTCCACCCTCCTCCCACTCAGACACTGCCTGGAAATAGGCATGTTCTTGGGCCAAGGACTCCACATCTAGAATATTCTCTTCAGTTCTCCTTTCAGTCCAGTGTCCACTGTACTGCTGCTGAATGACCTTCCTGAAATGCCTCCTCCCTTGCCTTCCATGGCACCACTTTTAATGGGTTCTCTTCACCTAGCCTCTTGCTTTCTGTCCTTTAAGAAGCTGGTATCCTTAGTGGATGTTGACTTACTTCTCTTTTCACATTGCTGCTCTTCCCAGAGGGGCTCATCTGCTTCAATAGCTTCATCTATCATCACCATAATGCCTCCAAGATTAGCTCTACCTGGCATCCAACTTCAGACTCAGGGTGCCCAAGATCTAGCTCATCATCTTATCCCCAAAGCACTAGTTCTTCCTTTATTCTTGCTCTTGGGAAATGTTTCCTAAGCCTCCAGGATCACCTGGCCATCCAGGTGAAACCTGAAGATCAGACTCTCCATCTGAGTCCCTTGAGGGCAGATACCATGCCTAGTTCATGGCTGGTCCTGTGAAGATTTTACTGAGCATCTGTGGAATGACTGAATTGTTCTCACCACCACAAGGGAAGGCAGATTATCTGTGACCTGTGGCTTACTCAACTGTCTGATTCGCCACTGGAGTCTCTCTCTACCTTAACATATTCGATGACAGAGTGCTCACTCCCTGAGCAGCTGAATCCACTTTCAAATAGTCAGATGCGGAATAGGGGGTTTTAGAATCACATTGTCCAAGTTGGTCTCGAACCCCTGAGCCTAGGCAATCTTTTTGCCTCGGTCTCCCAAAGTGCTGGGAGTATAGGCTTGAGCCACTGTGCCCGGCTGGTTTCCCAATTTTGAAATCCCTAAGCATACAGAAAGTTTTGTGTAGACAAAATTTCCTTTTGTCTAGAAGTCTTTTTAAAACTACAGTTCCATTATTTTGTAATGTGCTCCAGTACTGCTCTGCTATTTACTAGCTGGGTGATCTAATATAAGTTTTCACCTCTCTGTGCTTTAGTTTCCTTACCTGTGAAATAGACATAATAATCCCTACCCTTCAGGATCATTTTGAGGAGTCAATTCAGTAGGGCCATGGACATAACGCTACAACAATTGATACACCTCACTAAGTATAAATTGCCATTCCCTCAATCCCCCGGCCAGTGACAGATATTGGTAAATGATCACAGCACCTCAAGCAGCCTCTACCAATCAATAAGAGATGGCATGAGAAATGAACCTTGTCGGTCACCCACACAGCACTTCCTCTAGCACAATCAGCAATGTTACATACCTGTTTCTCAAAAGCAGTGGGGACCAAACGCCGCAATTCGGAAAGGCTGCTGTTGATGCGGTCTCGGCGCCGTTTCTCTATTATCTAAAACATAATGACAAGAAGTTACAGATAGGCTCTCCATTACAGTTTCCAATGTGCCTTGATGGATGTGGACTTAATTTTTCCCTCACAATATTTCTGTGAGAGAGATAAGTCTATTCTTTCTTTATGAAGGAGGAAACCAAGGCACAGAGAAGGACAGTGATTTGCTTAAGATCACATGGCAAGAAAGCACAGAGCTGGGAGTAGAACTCAGATCTCTTGTCTTGGTCTGCAGGAGTGATATTCAAAATGTTAAACCATTGGTACAGCAGGGTACAACCAATCAGAATGGGACACCAGCCACAGCTCTGGAACAGGCCCTGGAGGCCCTGAGCGGATCAGCAGCACCCCTTCAGTTGCAGGGCCACGAGGAGGTTTGAGAGTCCTAGGGATTGCTCCCTCCAGCTGCAGAGGCCTTTCGTTCACATAATCTCGTCTTGCCCTCACCATACTGATAACAGGACACAGGGAGCAGGACAGACATTGACCCCATTTTACAGATTAAGAAAATGAAGGCTGGAAGGAAGTGGACTGTCTAAGGGATTAGGGACAGTGAGTGGCAGGCTGGTCTCTGCCAGACCACAGGAGTCTGGACTCCCAGAGCAGAAGCACAGCTGCAACCTGGGGCAGAAAGTGGGTCTGGATAAGATGGACAGATGGACAGCAGCAAGCTGGGCAGCCTCCTTCTTCTGTCCCGCTCCCCCACCGCAGCACACTGAGAGAAGAGGAGGTTCTGGGCTCAGAGAACAGACAGAAGATGGGGAGGGGGAGGCTGGAGCAAACAATAATAACAGCCTATTGTGTGTCAGCTATTGTTCAGAGCGTTATGTTAATTCACTTAATCTTCAAAACAGCCCTTTGAGGTAGGCACTGTGGTTTTTCCAGTTACACAGAGGAGGAAATGAGGCCCAGAGCTGTTAAGTGGCTTGCCCAAAGTCACCCTGCCCACTCCTGGCAGAGCTGGAATTTGAACCCAAGCAATTAGCTTTGGGGTGAAGTTCCTGCCCAGGGTTTCAGGCCAGGCTGCTGGGGATTCAGGACAGCCCTTTGTTGGGCAGCTCACTGAAGTGGACACTCACCCCTCTGCGCTTCTTCCTGGCTTGCATCTGCGAAGGGCTGGGGGTGGACAGCGGCCTGGCCATCTGGCTGCAGAGAGAAAGGCTGGTTTTTCAGAGCTGAGGACCATCTCCCTGGCCTGGGCTGACCTCAGAGGCCGAGGCCGGGAGGAGCCGCAGCGGCTGTGGGAGGGGGCGCTTGCTCTCCCCTTCTCTCTGGGGGCTCATTTCTCGGGCACTCTGCGTGGCCTTGGCGGGAGGCGGGGGGG